TTGATAGATGATTGAAATCGCCCTTTGAGGTGTGCTTAGGTAATACAAATCCATACATGCATTTGAAAAAAAATGAGTGAAATCAATTACGAGACATTACACGCTCAGCCCACGTCTTTCCTTAGTCATTTTTAAACATTTTCATAGACCTAGTGTTGTTTCACCCCTTTCACGGATAACATTACAGCAAGAAAAACAAGGGAAAATAATACACATACAAACGACATCATTTATATGTTTCAGCTTTTTAGCCTATGTCCATGGGCGAAGATAACCAAAAATTTACTAAGAAAGTGGAAGTATACAAAAATTGGATGAACTCTCAATCCCAAAACCCAATACACCCAATATCTCTCACACTCTAACACACTGTTTTTTTTCTCTATTCAGCTTCTTCTAATGTGTATGCATTGCTGGATATTGTTATGATTTTGCCATCAAATTCACATTAGGAGGCCCTACGCAATATTTGGTGACAAATCAGGGTTACAAAGCCACTTTCATGTCATAATTTATAGGAGACATGCATTAGGTATTTAGAAGCCATGTAGCTAAATTATAGTGAGTGCACTATATTCAGAGACATGAGCTACAGTGCTTACTCGGTCTAAAGTCTAGAGAAGTTCATTTTAAGTCTTTGAACATGTTGAATGTGGGGCAAAAATGCGCCACCACCCCACCCCCCCCCCACCCCCCCCCCCCCGCCAAAAAAAAAAAAAAGAAAAAATGTGAACACGAACTTTCGACTATTAAGTCACTTTCTACACCGATTATTTTCAACATCAAATGAATGGCAAACTTACTTTTACCTTTGCTACCCTTTTAGTTTCACTCATTTTGTTTCTTCTTTTGGGTTTGGGATAAAACTGTACAATAATTATGAGACGTATTGAGCTAGCTAATATTATTACCTCTTAAGAGGCTTGCACTTTCGTATTAATATTAATTGAATCGTTTTTTCATTTCTGCATGTTTCACCCATCTGTCCAAAATGTCCCTCGATTGGCAAACACGATAGCAAGAAGAGAGACACAGGCCTTTGTAAATTCCCCTAGAACCTCTTGATAAATATGCATATTGTGCTATCATACATTAGTGATATAACTATAAAAAGAGGACTCAAGACAGAGAACTATAAAGTAAAACAAACGAATAAAATCAAACTTTTGAAACAATTAAAAACAGAGACTATCCACGACAACTGTTTTATTGGTCTCTATAAACGTTTGCAGCCAAAAAAACATGACTACCACCGACTCCCGTTTATTGTACCTGCTATAACCTTTTGAAAACAAAAACAAGAATACCAACGACTAGCTGTTTGTTGTCTCTATACACACTTTGAAGACAAAACAATACTACCACGTGAACAGTGTTTTGATTGGTCTCTATAACAAGTTTGAGTGAGAATAATATGGCTTGATTGTACATAATGAAATGGGGTTGTTGTTGTTGTCGACACTGTATATGAATTCATTGATGATGGATGGTAGGTAATGGAGGTAAGCTCATCTTCTCTGTGGTTTGTATATTTTGTATATGGTGCTCAAGACAAAACACTTTGAATGAAATTCTTCTTTAGCCAAGCAACGACGTTTGTCTTCTTTCACAATTGAAGAAATTCGTTGGTTTTTGATAAAACAGTAGAAGAAACACGTTTTCTGGCTCTTCCTCCTTTCTTCAGGAAGACATCACATTGTGACTGTTTGTAGATTATCACTTGTTTATATGCACTTGTTGAGAGTGCTGAGAAAGTTGTTTGATTTTCATTCCTGCGTTCGTTAAGGGTCACCATTCCTTGAAAAAAAAAAAACAATTCGACATCAGAAAATTGAAGCTTAAAAAATTTTCACATGAGATTGCATGGTAACTACTATAGTATGTCCTATATATATCATGAAAACTATAATATAGACCTGGTTTAAATATATTACGGCTTAATATATTAATTCTTTATTTTATTAGTCATTTTTTTTGTTTTTTTTTTGGGTAAAAGGTAATTTATACTTGAAGAATGAACATAGGTCCCAAAAAAGAAGCCTTACAAAGGCAAGATCTTGAAGGCCAAGAATCAGCAAAGACAAAAAGGACACGAACACAACCACCAAAGCACACATCCTAGCCTCCAGAGGACAACGTACAAAAGACCACATCTTCAAAATAACTGCGTCCAGCTATACAAAACAAAAAAAAAAAAAAAAAACATTGTTCAAATTTCGCCATGACACCCGCCTCCCAAACATGTCTGCAAAATCTGTACATAGCAGTCCAACACATCACACACAACACAAGACACCCAGAATAGCCAGAATTCAAAAAACCTTACTGCACAGCCCAAACACAAGTACCACATAGTCCAACGCACCCGCCAAAGGAAAAGAATCCCAGCACAATCCCAACCCAGTACACCATCAGGCATAGAGAACCAACACAGGAACTGCCTCTCCGCCGCAGTACACCTACAGTAAAAAATTAACTCCCAGCAAACCCGCTTAACAGTCTGACGGGAGAAAAAAAAAAAAGGGGGTCTTCTTCCAAGTCTCCCAGGTATTCTCATGCCACAATCAACAGCCCACTTTGTAAATCTGCCAAGCTCACTACGTTGATTATATTTATTACACTGTTTGAATGTTTTAATAGTATGTTTATTTGGTCGTACTCATTAAATTTGGAATATGACCGGGATGTTTTGTCTAATACTTAATATCAACCTGAGTTTCTAAGTTCGAATTGTGATTTGTTTAAATCTTTTCTGAGTTTATAAGTTGACTATAGCTATTTGTCAAGTTATTTATCACTTATTCCTTATTTAATTTTTAAATTTCATATATATACTCTTTATTTAAATATAGTCCCATTTTTTGTTCCATTTTATGAATAATTCTAAGCCACATTTGTACCAAACACTCAACACATTTCGTCCACTTAAAGTACTTTAACTAAAGCCTAATTGCGTAAAATTTGAAATGCTTTAACACAAATTAGCTTATAAAGCATTGTTGCTTTAGAGCTAATTTTTCCATAGCTCACTAAACCCCCCTAACATAAAGCAGGAGTTGAGAGATTTTTTTTTTGTTTTGTAACCAAGTGTTAGTCAGCATTTCTTCTTTTAGGTTTGGGATAAAACTTACAAAAAATTATGAGAAGTAGTGAGCTAGCTAATATTGATTAACTCATTTAAGACGTTTGCATTTTCTTATAATTAATTAATTGTATGAACCGCAACAGCAAAAAAATAACTGTTCATTTTCTTGTAACTCTGCATGTTTCACATTTTCTAGAAGTCTTGACTGGAAAAACTATAACAACAATGGGACCACAGGGCCATTGTAAATACCCAAGAACCATGAAACAAAAAAATAAATAAATAAAGACTTTTGAAAACAAAAACAAAGACTACCAACGAGAGTGTTTATTGGTCTCTATCGGCTCTCTTTTGTTGTCATCTTTTATCTCTTAACAAGAATGGTTTGTGAAATTGATAAACAAAGATCTGGACTTCACAGTTTAGTACTAAAGTGTAAACAAGTGGTGAGTGAGAGTGAGAATATATAGTTTGGTTGTAAAATAATGAAATGGCGGTTGTTGTCGACAATGATATTGAATCATATTGATGATGGAATTGGTAGGTAATGGAATTGAGCTAATCTTCCTGGTACTTGTATTTTTTATAATGGTCCTGAGACAAAAATTAAAAAAAATAGTTATATATTTTTTAAAATTTTAATCTCGTTAATTGCAGGAGCTGAATAAATTTAATAAACAAAAGTTAAGCAAAACTTTCTTGCATTAGTGAAAAAACTGCAAATTTTATTTATTTATATATGAAAAATTCTTCTTTAGCCAAGAAGATTTGCTCTTTCACAGTTGAATGAAATTCAGTTGAGTTTTTGATAAAAAGTGGAAGAAAACCTTGTGGCTCTTCCTCCTCTCTTCCAGGAAGCACATCAGCATTGTGACATTTTGATTATACTTGTTTTATTGCTCTTGATTGAGAAGGGCGAGAAGTTGTTTAGATTTTACAATTACTGGTTCGTTAAAGGGTCACACTCCTTGAAAAAGAAAAAAAAAAAATTGACGTCAGAAAAATTGAAAGCTTTAAAAATTTCCACAATGAGATGGACATGGTAACTAACTAATAGGTGTCGTTAAACCATGATAACCATGGAACTTTTTTATATTTAATTATCACTGTTGAATTGATTTTATAGTTATGTTATTTGAGTCGTATTCTAGAAATTCAACAATGAATTTTATAAAAAAGTGGTTATTGTAGATCAATCAATCTATTTTTATTTATTTTTTTATTTTTTTGAAAATGGTATCAGAGCTGGCTATCATCTTGATCATCGCGTCGAAGGAGTTCAAAAACTTGAGCAATCGATAACAGTATTTACTGCAGTTGATGAACAAAAAATTTGTAAAAGAGTGTCCTGTTGGAGAGTGTTCTTATTTTTTTTCTTAAGAATTTAACAGAAATACCTAGAGATGCATTATATGTAACTTCAACTGCTCTATTTTTTTTACCCGGACTTGAGAAGAAAACATAGGCCTTATTAAATTAATATGTGGTAGGTCATATGTTACTTTTTTCTTCTAATAATTCTTTTTAGAAGAAGAACAAAAAGAAACAAACAAATAAGTAGTTCTCGAGAGCTAGTACAACAAATATTGATAGAACGACATCAGAAAAAAAGAAATAATTTCCACATAGAAATTAACTAAAGCTTGTTATTTAATTAAGAAAAACTTCTGAAACTCCTGAGTAATTTACATTCCGAGCTGGACTTTTGATACTTTTTCCGTTGTAGTCGGATGATAAATCCTTTATTCATTGGAGTTAATTATACCTAAGCGTCTTGTGTTCAAGTTGTAGTAAAAATATAGCACTGGACTTTTGACTAAATTTTAAGTTTCATTAGATTATAAATAGCACGTAATGCATAAAGTTTCATGCACACACATTTGCTTTCTTTTTATTTTAGCCACTGAAACAAACCATGAACACAATTCTTTTCCTCAATTTGTTTGCCATAACAACCATCAATCTTAGCTTATGCAATGGAACCACTTACTTGGGTTGCATCGAAAGTGAGAGACAAGCACTTTTAAGGTTCAAGCAAGATCTCACTGATTCTTCCAACCGGCTTTCCTCGTGGATTGGTGAAGGAGATTGTTGTAAATGGGCTGGTGTTGTCTGCCACAATTCCACAGGTCATGTCCATGAACTCCGCCTTGGAAATCCTGATGCTTACAATGGCATATCAGATTTGGGAGGTAACCTAAATCCCTCTTTGCTTGATCTTAAGCACTTGATTTACCTTGACTTGAGCTATAATGATTTTCAAAGATTTCAGCTTCCTAGTTTTCTTGGATCTATGGGGAAGTTAAGACACCTTAATCTCTCTGGAGCTGGATTTTCCGGAGAAATTCCTCAGCAACTTGGAAATCTCACCAATCTGCAATATCTTGACCTCAGCCAGAATTACTTGTTATACCATGAAAATCTTGGTTGGTTATCAGGGCTTTCTTTGTTAGAGTACCTTGATTTGAGTTTGGTGAACCTTGGGAAAACTTCTGTAGATTTGTTGTTCATTGTAAATGTACTTCCTTCTTTAGCTGTGTTAAAATTGTCAGGTTGTCAACTCCATCACCTTCCAACTCTGTCCATTGCTAACTTTTCTTCACCCCTTGTCACCCTGGATCTTTCTGGCAACAAATTTAATACCTCTTTCAGTTCCAATTGGGTGTTTGGTCTCAGTCAATTACAGTTTCTTGACTTAGCTGGAATTGGTTTTGAAGGACCAATCCCCGATGGACTTCAAAACTTAACTTCTCTTACACATCTTGATTTGTCTCGAAACCATTTCAGTTCTCCAATTCCCAACTGGTTGTACAAATTTAGTCACCTTGAGTCTCTTTCTCTATCCCGTAATAGCTTGGAAGGTGTTATTTCAAGTGATATAGGAAACTTGACCTCTTTGCAAATGCTTGATCTCTCATCAAATGCACTTCAAGGGAGCATTCCAAAATCATTGGGAAGACTTTGCAACTTGAGGTGGATCTCTTTGTCATTTGTCAAATTGAATCAAACAATTTCTGAAATCCTAGATATTTTTTCAGGATGTGTCTCACATAGACTAGAGTTTTTGGATTTGGCTCAAACTCAACTTTATGGTCAGTTGACCTACCAACTTGGGCTATTTAAGAATTTAAAAACTCTAGATCTATGTTGTGGAAATATATCTGGTCCTATTCCATATTCCTTGGGAGAACTTTCGAAATTGACATTTCTAGATCTTTCCTTTAATAATTTGAGCGGCCCGATTCCCTTTTCAATAGGTGAACTTTCATCCTTGAAGACTCTACAGCTTTCCTCTAATGAATTGAATGGATCTATTCCATCATCATTAGGAAAGCTTTTGTCTTTGAGGACTCTCCAACTTTCTTCTAATGAACTGAATGGAAGTCTTTCTGAAATTCACTTTGTCAAGCTCTCAAGTCTTACGCTTTTCAATGCATCAGGAAACTCATTAGAGTTGAATGTAAGTCCCAATTGGGTTCCTCCTTTTCAACTTGAAGAGTTATATTTGGCTTCCTGGCATTTAGGGCCTCAGTTTCCATCATGGCTTCTTTCCCAAAAGTATCTAGCTTTTCTAGATATATCCAACTCAGGAATTCGAGATACGATTCCTAGTAGCTTTTGGAACTCTTCTTCTAGATTTCAATATCTAAATCTCTCTTATAATCAAATCTATGGAACAATTCCTGAATTAACAGAAGCTATTTTGATTTCTTCCCTTGACTTGAGTTCAAATAATTTGTCAGGTTCATTGCCTCTTGTATCCTCCAATATGGTTACACTTGATCTTTCCAAAAATTCTTTCTCAGGAGAAATTGGAGATTTTCTGTGCCATGAAATGAACGAGTCAAAGAATTTGCAAATTCTTAATCTTGAAGACAATTCTCTATTTGGAGAATTGCCAAATTGTTGGATAAATTGGCAAAATTTATTGATTTTAGATTTAAGTAAAAACAAATTTACTGGAAACCTTCCCACCTCTATCGGAACATTAAATTCCCTTAGGTCACTACATCTTCAAACCAATAAATTCGCTGGAACAATTCCCATGTCTCTTAAAAATTGTACAGAGTTAGTGGTACTTAATATTCGTGAAAATAAATTTGTAGGAAATTTAGACTCATGGCTTGGAGAAAGTTTTTCAAGTCTTGTGATCCTCACCCTTCGCTCAAATAAGTTTCATGGCATTTTGCCTTTGGAACTTTGTGGTCTATCTTCCCTACAAATCTTAGATCTTGCTGACAACAGTTTGTCCGGAACCATACCAAGTTGTATTAGTAATTTGAGTGCCATGGTAACAATCCCAAAAGATTTTTTCAGCAGCATAAAGTATTCAACCAATTATAGTGATTTTACCGAGGATGAATCACTGATGATAAAAGGGAAAATGGATAATTATGGCTCCATTCTTAATTTGGTGAGAAGTATGGATCTTTCCAAAAACAATTTCTTTGGAGAAATTCCTATAGGAGTGACAAATCTTGTAGCGTTGCGATCATTGAATTTGTCACACAACCTTTTCACAGGAAGAATTCCGGAGAGTATTGGCGCTATGAAAGTACTAGAGTCTATTGATTTCTCATCAAATCGGCTTTTTGGTGAACTTCCTAGGAGTCTTTCAAAGTTGACATTTTTGAATGACTTGAATCTTTCGAACAACAACTTGACAGGGGAAATTCCTTTAAGCACTCAATTACAAAGCTTGGATCCATCTTGTTTTATGGGCAATAAACTTTGTGGACCTCCGCTTTCTAAGGATTGCACCTTCATTGTTCCAACATCTGAGAAAGAAATTGCAGGTAACAAAAGATTGGTGAATGGGTTTTATGTAAGCATGGCACTTGGATTTGTGGTGGCTTTTAGTAGTATAATATATAGGTCCTTTAATACATGTAAATTTGTACGGTTGTTCTTCATAAAAAGAATGTGTATGCAAGTGTTAAATGGCTTCCGAGAAATTGTGTTGTTTACTGCATTTGTCGCTTATTATTACTTTTATCTATCTGTCTGAATTGGTAAGTTTTGTTTTTTCCATTCTAGAGTTTGTGAGTTTATTGTGTATTCTTTCCTGTAGCCTGGTGCTGGACATGCAGAGTTCCATTTCATGTTCGTCGCAGTGGCAAAGCGTATGTTCTGAACAAAGGATCCTTTGCAGAGCCTAGCTCATCTGTCACTGGTATCAAGAATGGTTTTGTGTAAGGTAATGTTGTTTATTTCTTACTGAACTGTTACTGTCAATGATTGTCTGATTCAAAGAATATTGATGTCATCATTTATGAAACTCTTATAAAAAAATGATTATTGAACTTTTAAAAAAATGGTTAATGGGAATTAAAATAAGACTTACCCTGTTTTATTGTCTTGACACATGGCAAAATTCTCCTTGCTGTGATAACATTTTGTTGGATGTACATGTGAATTTTGAATGCCCTGTTTAAGTAAAGTTGTGCCTCAGATTAATTTTTTCCTTAACTAGTCATTAATCATTACCTGTAAACAAGTTCATTTACTTTGCTTTAATTGATCCATTTATAGAGAGACTGTTGTTGCTGGTATAAACGATTGATTTGTTTAAAATTTTCCACTGTGGAACTTTTGCCCATATATGACTAGTGGGAAATAGAAGCTCGCGAATGAAATCCAGCTCAAGAAGTCACCTGGAATTAACAAAATTCTGAGAGAAAAAATATATGAGTTCTCAATCTCCACACTGTGCATCTCTTTTTCTTTTGTTTTTCTGCAATTTTGTTGGTATATATCTTTTGCTTTCAGACCATCTTATTCCGTCTCTTGGCTTTACCATCTTATTCCCTCTCTGGCTTTCTTTATCTTAAACTTGTGTTAGACTATCAAAGTGTGGCTTTCATGGGTTTTTCTGCATTTATATATCTAAAGGATTGGTTGCCAACTGGTTGGGAGGGGGAATTTGGATATGAAAATTTATAAAATAGTGAGAGGGTAATAGAAACCTATATTGAGCAAAATGAAGGTGTAATTAAAATTTTTGGTTCTGGAAGTTAAACTTGATATATAGCAGAAACTAATTTGGTACCTGACTTGAGTTTTGCATTGCAAATTCTCACTTGCTATAAGAAATGAGATTAGCTGAGCTTCATTTTCAGTTCAATGAGGAAATTTTGAATTGTGCTTTTAATTGAAAGAAGAATGGTACCTTACATTTCTCCTTCCTCCCGTTCAATTTGATATGTTACTTACCTAATTGAAAAACTGTTTCCTATGTAGCTCGAGCCTTCTTTCAGTTCTCCAATTCTGCAATGGAGGGGGCAACGAAGTGGGACCCTGTCTGCTTGAAAACATCGATGAGGCACAGAGATCTTAGAACATCAAGCCTCTTGACCAACAGGTAAGTGCGTATCAGTGGTTGTTGCTCTTGAAGCTGAACTGGAGCAGGTTCGCACACGCAGCAGGAGCTTGAGACTGAGCGCGGTCTTCAAAAAAGAAACTTGAGCACTTCTTGAGGAAAGTCGTGAAGAAAAAGCTGCATGGCGGAGCAGGGAACATGAGAAAATCCGTGTATTTATTGATGACCTCAAAGGTGAGTTGATCGAGAAAGGAAAAATCGCCAAAGAATAGATTGTCAATTCCAATAGTTAATGAGCTGGCAGATGCAAAGTTAGCAGCAAAGAGGTATATGCAGGACTATGAGAAGGAAAGAAAGGCAAAGAATTAATTGAAGGTGTGTGATGAGCTTGCTAAGGAAATTGGAGAAGATAAGGCTGAAGTTGAAGCATTGAAAAGGGATTCCATGAACTCCGAGAGGAAGCAGAAGATGAAAGGAAAATGTTACAGATGGCGAGGTCTGGCGTGAAGAACGGTTCAAATGAAGCTAATTGATGCAAAGGTAGCACTTGAAGAGAAGTATTCTCAATGAACAAACTTGTAGCAGATCTGGAGACTTTTCTGAGGTCAAGAGTGCAACCCCAGATGTTAAAGATTGAAAGAAGCCGATTCTTCGACAGGCTGCTGCCTCCATGAATATTCAGGAAATCAAGGAATTTACATATGAGCCCCAATCCAGATGATATTTTCTCTGTTTTTGAAGATGTTAATTTTGGTGAACCAATGAGAGGGAGATTGAACAATGTGTGCTTACAGTCCGTCAGCCATTCCTCAAAAATTCATACGTAAGTCCTGAGGTCAATGTGGTAACAGGGATAGCATTCATAGGCATTCTAATGCGTATGTCGGGCAGAATATTGAAATGGAAGAAGATGATAGTGGATGGGAAACTGTGAGCATCTTGATGATCAAGGGTCAAGTTGTTCACCTGAAGGAGTGGAATTATCTATCAAGAATCGTCGAGTAGTAATGTCTCGGGGAGTGGAATGGAATGGGATGATAATGAATGAAGGAACCCCAATTACTGAAATCGGTGAAGTATGCTCGGGCCCAACAAGAAGAAGGTGTCACTATAAGCAAGGCTCTGGAGATCTGGCCCGAATAATGGAGAAAACTGTAAGATATCACGGTTGAGGGAATGAAGGGTAGGCTTTCAAATGGAAGATTATCTAATGGGAGTATTGCATCACCAGACGGGGGTCTGGTAAAGGTGGGCTCAGCCCTCCGGATTGACTGGTCAGTGGAGTTCACCGGACTCAGGAAATCCTCACATAACTCGAGGCATGAAAGGGTGTATCGAATGGCCTCGAGGTGCACAGAAAAATAGTTTGAAGGCGAAGCTTTTGGAGGCAAGGATCGAAAGTCAGAAGCTTCAGCTGCGACAGGTTCTTAACAGAAGATTTAGGAGTAGCTAGTGATTCGGATGCCAAGCTTGCTGAAGGTTACTGGAAACGGCAGTGGTAATAAGTGATTTATCTTTCAACCATCTAAGGAACCTTATCTTTCACGAGTCGAAGCTGCTCAGAGGTTCCTGAAGAGCTTGTGAATAAGACACAAGTAGATCATAAACTTGCTCATATCCGGGCTCCAACTGTTCTCCTGTACATCGTGCAATGCCAAGAGTTTTGTTTCATATTATATGTCAATTAGGAAATAACTGTCTGGTTCAATGTTGGATCCTTCCTTGTAATGAGTTGCTAAATTTCAATCAGTGGTAGTTAGCAAATTTATTTTCCAGTGATCCAGGGAGCAATAGTGCTATTTGTATTGTTCTTTGAAAATCTGAGGACACCCAATTAAAGTAAATTTGAGACCAAAAGATGATATGATATCCTTCTCTTTCTTTAGTGCATCATTTTTAACTAGCTATTCATATAATAAAATTTTACAATAAATCCCATAAACACTGATAAAATTTGCCAAGCAAATTAATCGGAGACGACCACCAACTTCCGTTCGTCTGATCCTCTTAAAGTTCTCATCGATACATAAAGATTTCCAACAGTCACCAAACGTATTGGCAACAACTATCTCACTTTCTCGCCGAACATGATAAGGTCCAAGTTTGTTAGGCTCGATAACATTGCTAGATCAACTTCATAGTACTATTAATTTTTCCTGATAGTGCCTACATGTTACAGTGTAAAGGGAGAAAATTAATAGTTCGGAAAAAATACAATGGAGAAAAGACCTTACTTGACAACAACCATTGAAGAAAGACCGGTAACTTAGACAACAACATTGGAGAAAAGACCTGTAAATTGACAAGACCTTTGTCATTTTTCCTTAATAAATTAGTGCATGAAATGAACTAAAAAAATAGAACATATACAATTAGTGATGAATAGTAAATTAACAAAGACAAAATTGTTGAGAACGGAAACAAAAACCACTAATGATGGAAGGAATCAGAAGTTCATTTTTCCAAGTTTGATTTCAAAGATGCCAATTAATCTGTGAAGACTTACAGCTCCAACGTGCACGCAATAATATTCAATTTATCAATCATAATCAGGAACATTGGTTCTCCTTTGAACAAATTAGTAAACTATTTTGACTGACTGAGACAAATACATTTTGCTGGTAAAATAAATGGAAAGAATTAGGTTCTAATTGTAGATGAAAACTGTGGTGATGGTGATGTTGTTGCAGTGTGTGGGGATGGATGATTGTGCTGAGTTGAGGTGATGGTTAAATTAATAGGTCGTGAAACTTCAATAGAAATGAATGAATAACAGCAAAACTTCGTCTACATGAAATTAGAAAAGATTTATTTTTTTCTTTAGCTTTTTTGGCCATTCAAACACCAATAGAGGTGAATAATTTTATTTTATCAAAAAATAATTTCACAAATTGGACCATTTACCAGGAAATTTAGTTCGTCCCAGTAGATAAGTTTAGATTTACAACCAGAGATATTATATATATCACGTCAATTAATCTAATTTTCATGCACACATTTCCTTCCGTTATTGCATGTCAATTGAACAACACCATATGAATTGTCGCTATTGCCATTCTTTTCTCTATTACTTCCTACAGCCATCAATTTTAGCTTCTGCAATGGAAGCAGCTGCATTGAAAGTGAGAGACAAGCACTTTTAAGGTTCAAGCAGGATCTTGAAGATCCTTCCAACCGGCTTGCCTCTTGGACTAATTTTGATGGAGATTGTTGTACATGGACTGGTGTTGTTTGTGACCTTCACCGGCCATTCTTTTAAGCTCCAACTTAGGAGTCCTTCACGGGTGCGGTTTGAGCGGTGGTAATCCCTCTTTGCTTGATCTAAGATTTGATTTCCTGGACTTGAGCTATGCTTTCGTGGATTCGGTTCCTAGTTTCTTGGTTCGTTTGGGGGTTGACACTTATCTCTCGAGATCGGATTGCTGGAGGTTCCCCACCACTTGGATCTCTCCAATCTGCATATCTACCTTGGTCCGAGTTACCCGTTATACATTGACAATATCGTTGGTCAGGTCTTTTTCCTTGAGTATCTTGATTTGACAGTTGTAAACCTCCGTAAAACTTCTGCAGATTTTTTTCTCATCATAATGCACTTCCTTCTTTAGGTGTGTTACAGTTGTCTAAGTGGAACTTCATCACCTTCCAACCCTTTCATGCCAACTTTTCTCTTTCTCTTGTCACCTTGATCTTTCTCAAAATAAATTAATAGCTCTTCCTCAATTGGGTATTGGTCTTACTCAATTACAGTTTCTTAATTGCCGAAATGGTTTTCGAGGTCCACCCGTGGACTTCAGAACTTGACTTCTCTTACACATCTTGATTTGTCTGAAACAATTTCAGTTCTTCAATACCCAACTGGTTGTACAAATTTAGTCAC